TTTGCATTGTGGTGAAGACAAGCACGACAGCAGCGATGATAACAATGCAGATCAGCCGTGTCGTATGCAGGGGGAGAGCCCCAGATGCATCAATTGCCAAGGTGACCACTGGGCCAACAATCAAAACTGTCCAATGATTGTTAAGCAACGCACTATAGTCAGCCTCGCAGCTGTGGAAAATATTTCCATAGCGGATGCAAGAATATGGGTTGAAAAAGGTTGGAAACCCTCTTCTTCACCTTCCAACGCATCACTGAGAAATAACACGAACAACTTTCCCAATCTCCCTCGCGGTAAGGAGGCTTACTTCGAAAACTCTAACAGATTTAAACTTCTAGGTAATGAAGAACCTGAAAACGTGCATCGCTCACATGCTGAAATCCTAAAATCTCAGAGTCAATCACAACCACAGTCACAAAGAAACAAGCAGATCTACCGCAGAGGGAATACGCCGACGACGACGTCAGCATCGGCGCCCACATCTCACAGATACGTGACTCAACCCAGCACGCTTCAAGGTGGCTATGACGACGGGGCTCACCGTCGGGTTCTCATCGAGGCTAACGGTCGAGCCTCGTACAAGTCCGGTAACGGCGTAGCCTTCTCTAATTACTCCTCCAAATGGTCAGAACCTCGAGGTACGTACGCAGGTAAGGCGAAAGACGAGCTGGATTTTGCTGAGTTGCTTGCCATGGCAACTGGAATCTTTTCACACTTCCAGAATAACAACTTCACCGGCGCTCTTAGCGACATTTTTAGGCTCCTCAAAATTCTTGGCAAATACTTTTTCCAATCTTCTTCCTTCGCTTCTCAGCCTGAGAGAGAGGCGAGAGATTCTCCCGGAACCCCCCATGTCATCAACGATTATAACAACAGGTTCGAACAGCAGCAAGACTCTGCATTCGATTACGATTATGAATCGGATTGCAATTACAATTTTCGGAACTAAATCACACACTTCACGCAATAATGCCAATCAGGCTAGTGACATCCCGCGTAGCCTGCGTGGTCCCTTGTCTTCGCCGCTGTCGCGCGGCGGCTTGGCGGATTGAGAACCGGTGGCGGTATCGCCGCCTCCCTCGCCGGCTTGCCGGCGCCGCGGGGGTGGCAGGGGCGCAGCTCCGAGGAACAGCGCATCTCACAAACATTTCAGCATTTTTCAATGGAATAGTTATGGAATTAGAAGTGGACTTCCCTCACTGCTTTCAATAGCAAAGGATTATCACGTTCTATGCATCCAAGAAACCTTGCTTAAAAACAATAATGCTTTCAATATCAAAGGTTTTAACGCATATAGGAAAGATATAACTCATCCAGGAGACCGAGATTTATGCACACTAGTAAGAGCGGATATCAAGTCTGAGCTCGTTGTCCTTCAGAATACTGAACACCCATCAGTAGAATTCAACGTGGTCAGAATTGAATGCCTGACTTCCGAACCGGTGATTATCGTCAATGTCTACCGACACCCCGGGCAAAGAACTCCCGCTTCCTTCTTCAGATCTCTACTCAATAGCCTGCAAGGTTACAAGAACCTTATCATCCTGGGAGATCTCAATGCTCATCACCCGGCATGGGGCTCTAGGACATATTCTAATTCGGGAAGGACCCTTCACCAGATCATTGGAGAATATGACATGTTCATACTCAATGATAAAGCGCCAACCTTTGTGAGAACCTCATCAGCCGCTACTTCAACTATAGATCTAGTTCTGGCGTCTCCCTCCTTGGCACCTCTGTGTAGCACCAAAACAAACTCCGATACTCTCGGTAGTGACCACTTTCCCGTTATCACGACAATCGGTATTCAAGCTTGCTTTAAAAAAAAATTTTATTATAAAATTCCAGTATCTAAAGAAATGTGTCAGGATCTGTTTCGGATCTTGCTCTCTACCACTAAGGATCTTCCCGCTCAAGTTGGGGATGATTTATTAGGTCGCTATGACGCTTTTACTAACAATATCCTTGAGGCGGCCAGGAGCTTCCTCCCAGAGAGCAAGCGCCTCCCACGCACCTCTGTACAAATAAAAAAATTAGCAGATCTCATTCCACCTTGGTGGAATGAGATCTGCTCCAAAGCGGTTCGCGATAGAAAGAAGGCCATTAGAGAGTTCCTGTCCGCCCCCTCCGAGGAGAATCATCAAGAATTTCGCAGGGCTCGCTTGAATTGCGCCAGGGTACTCCTAGAACAAAAGAGAAGAGGATGGCGCAACCTTGTGAATGGTTTCAACGCAAGGACTCCTACCAGTCAGATTTGGGCCTTGATTAAAAGTTTCAAGAGGAGAGCGTCACAACAGGACTCCCCGCAGCAAGAACACACACGAATTGCCTTGGAAGCTATCTCTAAACTGTGTCCTCCGTCGTCCTTTTGCAATAGATCCAAAACCTTGACAGACATGAAATCGGAGGACGAGAAAAACACAAGTACACATACTGGGCTGGACGACCCCCTGACCATGAGCGAATACCGGAGAGCAAAAATCTCTTCCAGAAAAAACTCCGCGCCCAGACTGGACCAAATTTGCTACGAGATGCTGGATCAACTGCCCATGGAACACGAGACGTATTTGTTATCTATGTTCAACGAAATCTTTTCCCGGGGAACATTTCCAGACTAATGGAAAATCTCGCTGGTTATACTCATACCTAAGCCTGGCAATAAGGCGGTTAGACCCATTTCGCTTATGTCGTGTGTCTGCAAACTTATGGAGCGAATTCTTTATCAGAGGCTGAGATGGTTTGTGGAATCTAACCCGATTCTTCCTCAGGCTCAGGCTGGCTTCAGGCCTTTCAGGAGCTGCGATGACAACCTAGCCGCTCTTACAACAGCAATCAGAACTGGCTTCTACGAACATTCCGTCACGGTCGCGGCCTTTTTGGACATTACAAGTGCGTTCGACAACGTGGATCCGTATATTCTTTTGGAGGATCTGAAAGATATAGGAGTTCCAGCTCTCTTCAGGAAATTTGTGGAGAACCTGATTAGCATCAGAACCATATTTTTTGTAGTCGACGGTGAATCTCAAGGACCTTATACGGCATACAAAGGCACCCCACAAGGTTCGACTCTGAGCCCTCTGCTATTTGACATCTATCTCAGGAATTTAGGCCAGCATTTGCATCCTGACACTCGATTTCTGCAATACGCCGATGACGTGGTGCTCTACTCCACACATAGGGACCGGAGATTGCTGCTGAGTCGGTTCAGGTTTCACTCAACACACTGTACGAATATCTTAAATATAGAAATCTGGAATTATCCCCGGACAAGTCTAGCTGGATTTGCTTTTCACAAGGACCCGGAAAAAAAACTTCATCAAAATTAGTAATTAATGAGAATCAGGTCCCTAGAGTTCATTTTCAGCGCTTCTTGGGGGTTATTCTGGATTCCAGCCTTAAGGGTGGCCACCATCTTAAATACCTCATTGAAAAAGGCAAAAAAATCTCTCGCATCATGGTTACCTTGTCGGGTGTTACCTGGGGCTCCCATCCGAGTCTTCTGCTCACTCTGTATAGATCCACCTTTCATAGTGCGGTTGAATATGGGTGTCGCTATTTCACTTGGTCCTCTTCTTCGCCGAATTATCTCAAACTGGTGCGTTTGCAGTATAGAGTGATTAGGGGAGCTATGGGATATCGCATTTCTACGCCGATCAATGTTATGTTAGCTGAAGCAAAAGAAATCAGCTTTGACATTAGGCTCAATCTAAATACTTCAAGATTCATTTACAAGGCCATGGCAAGTAGGTTCAGCTTGGTCTACCGTTCCCTGGAGGAGATGGAGATAGCGGTTACCAGAAGGAACTGTAGGATCGACGCCATCAGCAAATCCAGATTATTCAAGCATTATGTAACTAGTCGTGGAGAAAAGAGCATTATCCATCGATCCACCTACCCACCCGCTTTCTGGCACTCCTACGAGGTCCTTACTCTACAAATAAATTACATCAACGACTTAAAGGGCTGTAACAAGAAGGATAACCCTAGCTTGATTAAGGCGGATTTCTATCACAAATCCTTTAATTACAGACAAAACGCCGTCTCCTGGTACACTGACGGATCAAAGAATCTAGACGGCGCGGTGGAGCAGCGGTTTTCACGCCTGATATGGAGGGAACAGTAAAGCATAAATTACCTCCTGAAACTTCAGTTTTTTCGGCGGAACTATGGGCCATCCTTCAAGCCATCCAGCTAATCGGAGATCTTAACACTAAGAAGAACATCATCTTTTCAGATTCCGAAAGTGCATTGGAGGCACTCAGTAACTCCACTAGGGCCCATCGTAACTACATAATCTATTACATCAAACAAGCTTATCTTAACATTACCAAGCAACATAAGGAAATTATATTTTTCTGGGTGCCTGCTCACGTCGGGATCCCAGGCAACGAATCTGCAGATGCTGCGGCCAAACAAGCAGCCATAGAGGGATACAAACCCCCCTTCAAGATCCCTTATGAGGACCTTCTCACGGAATCTACCGAACAAGCAAAAAGACAATCCGAAGAAAGCATGAAGATCATTTCCAAATCCAAAGGCACTCTGTACTATGAAAATTTTTATAACGCTTCATCTAATAAAACATGGTTCCATGGAGCCAACTTATCAAGAAACGAAATTGTAATGATTAACCGTCTGAGGTCAAATCATATAAACGTCAACGAAAGCCTCCATAGGGTCAACATGGTGGAGTCTCCTGCATGTCCCTGTGGTGATCCCCGACAATCAATCAATCACCTCATATTTCATTGCGAAACCTTCAATTCTAATTCATCTCCTATAAGAAATTACATAGCGCAGAAATTCCCTGATCTTTCCCCGAACCTCCTCCCGGTCCTTCGTTCCCCTTCTCCCAAACTATGTCGCCTGCTCTTGGCATTCATGAAGGCCAACGAGCTTTTCTTTTAGCTATTCTATATTTTTTCCCCTTCCCTTCTCCTTTGGCGCGCGACTCACCGTTGGGTGGTAGCAGGCGTCTGGTGATGGGGGGGGATATCGAGATTGCGCGTCATCACAACAAGTCGGCAACCTTTTAACGTTTAACAACCAGATATGCAGACCTCAATGGCCTAGTTTCAGCCTGGTTGGCTGCCTGGCCAAATATTAGGAAGAAGAAGAAGCACACACTCTTGCATAACGCATAAATACATAATGGAATCAACCAATCGAAATTCTTCTTTTCCATGGAATGAGAGGAAAGGAAAGCTTCTGATTAGTTGATTCGCTTATGCACTATGCGTTATGAGTTATGCAAAAGCTTGTGTCTGGGCTATTACGCCGAAGTTATAACATCGATGTTATGTAACTGCCCAATCACAGTCATTCCATTCTTCAGAGGAATAATTATGATTGGCCAGTTTCATAACATCGATGTTATAACTTCGACGTAAATCGTGTAAACGTAGTCAAAATGGTCGAAAGAGACGAGAGAAAGGGTCCGTGGCAGACGGGGGGTAATCCTGATTGATTACGG